TGCACATAAATCAAACTCTGAAAAGTGCAAAACACTATGAAGTCGTTCACAGCTGTTGAAAAAGCAGAGGGGTAATCAAGGCAACACCAGTCGTTAAAAAGGAGGCCATATGTGAAAGCAGTGAGGAACTGTTTCCGAATTACTCAAAACTGGAGATTGTATTGGACTATAATACCCCTGAACATGAATTCACGCGCAGCTATTTTCCAAAACTTGGAGCGGAAGGAAGATAGTGGCATCGCTTCCAGGCATGGGGGAAGGTCCGTAGTGTATGACAGTTTGATGAGCATCAGAGTAAGCAATAAGATCTGGTAGCTTCGAGCAATAAGTTGTTGGGAATTCCGGGCAATCTTACGACTGACAGGAAAGGACCGTGATTATTTTTTCATTGTTATCAAGCTGAAGTGGCGGATAAAACGAAGTTGATAAACATTACATCAAAATGCACCTGATACGGGTTCTGGTTTAATCCGCCTGAGGATTAGTAGGCATGTCCCCTGATGACCTGTTTCCCTGGCAAATGATGTAACAACAGATATGTGTGCAATTTTTGAATGTGGTAAATAGGTTCGAAGTGAACGCAAACGCACTTCAAGCTGCGCAAACATTTTGACCAATGTAAACATACTACAAGAAAAGTGATCTGATGCCAGACAGCTGAGATGATTTGGTGCTCTTTCACGGTCGGCAAACTGTGCTTCACAAAGTTACTGCATTTCAGGTTAGGTGTGAACGAGAGTTTTGAACTTTTCAACTGTTTTGGTGTGATTTCTTTACAAGCTGTGCCAGAAAATGCGATTAGCGTTTCATTTGCATGACTATCATCTGGTTCTTTTTGTGCCAAGCGTTCATTCTATGTATGAAAGTTCAGAAGAAAGGCAAAAGGCGGTGCATCTTCAGCACACGCTATCATCACATAAGTGGCAGATCTTACTTGAGAGTTAATGAACAATAAACGAAGTGACACCGTTTTCTGTATCACTTGGTTCGGCCAGAAGTTACCGCCCCTTGAATCAGAAGAATTCGTTCGTTCCAGAACATCCCAAGTGGGGTTGAGAATAGCTGTGTCAATCATCTAATCGTTTTTTCTCAGTAAAAGTCAGATTAGCAGTTACCACAAACTCATCCTGGAATTTCACCCTACGTTCTCATCTTTTCACCACCATCAATTTTACTCTAAGCAAAGCCTCAAGTTCTGTCAAACTTACACTGTTGGATTGCTTGGGTATCCGCATCGTCCACATGACAGCACAGTGTCTCACGAGTGCATTAATCGTTTGAACAGGAAATGTGCTTGAAAATTCAAAAACCTTCCCCCAAAATTCATTCACTATTCACCTAAGAGAACCGATAAGTCTGATTTCTTGACGTTCACTGCTGCTCGATCTATTTTTATGTTTACCGAAAAGCAAATAATAAGATGTTTACTCGGAAGCTACTCTTTAATGTGACTAGGCTGTTTGGTAATAACTGCTCCGCCCGAGAGTCAAAAGTGCCTCCATTAAATGCCCTGAAGATTGGCTTCCGCAGCATGTATCCCAAACAATCAATGTGCAAGTGGATGAATCACGGACTCGGTCTGGTTTGTTTGATCTATGGGAAGAGGCTACTGCCTTGGCTCAGAGTAAGCTCAGTCACGGTCTTATCTGCACATAAATCAAACTCTGAAAAGTGCAAAACACTATGAAGTCGTTCACAGCTGTTGAAAAAGCAGAGGGGTAATCAAGGCAACACCAGTCGTTAAAAAGGAGGCCATATGTGAAAGCAGTGAGGAACTGTTTCCGAATTACTCAAAACTGGAGATTGTATTGGACTATAATACCCCTGAACATGAATTCACGCGCAGCTATTTTCCAAAACTTGGAGCGGAAGGAAGATAGTGGCATCGCTTCCAGGCATGGGGGAAGGTCCGTAGTGTATGACAGTTTGATGAGCATCAGAGTAAGCAATAAGATCTGGTAGCTTCGAGCAATAAGTTGCTGGGAATTCCGGGCAATCTTACGACTGACAGGAAAGGACCGTGATTATTTTTTCATTGTTATCAAGCTGAAGTGGCGGATAAAACGAAGTTGATAAACATTACATCAAAATGCACCTGATACGGGTTCTGGTTTAATCCGCCTGAGGATTAGTAGGCATGTCCCACATAGGCGACAGTATCTCCAGTCGGACAATATACTGCTAAAAAACTGAAATGATTCGTCCCATCTAATACTGGTTTTCATGTATCGGAGAAAAAGTGGCCGGTCAAATCCCAAAAGGGCAGGTATATGAGGAAACTGGAAATATTTTTTCTGCATACAAGCTTTGCAAATCGGCTGCTGGCTATCTGATGCCAATTTTGGCAGGTATACAGTTACAGAAAGAAGGATTCATTAACCGCTAGTCTATAGCTTACTTACAGTTGAAATAATAACAGTTGTGAATAATTTTACTCACTCAGTTCAGTCACCCGTATCCCGGTGTAAATATTTTATTTACCTCTATGATAGGCTATGCATCAATACGTGGTTGCTCGTTCTAGGCTTTTAAGCCACGGCTTGCCTAGATGACCGTCATAGACATATCGTCACAAACCATGAGGATGAAAGACGAAACGATAGGAAGTAAAAACATACTGGGCGGGAAAACCTTGTGTAAAGCAGGGAGTAAGTGCATAGAAATGTCCAGTGCATTCTGCCGGCCATCAAGGTCCTGTGTTACGGTTGTACAAAAGACTTAAGTTGTTTATCACGACGCTGAGAAAAAGGTTTTTCACGATCATAAAAAATGGATGAAAGAATTCTGCTACATGTCATTGAAACAGTTCACCGCAAGTAATGTGCCCATTTGACAATACCTGGCTGTCTGTGTCACTGATGGTTTCTTAGGAAAAATGAGAGCCGAACCAATAGAAAGCAATAAAGCCAGAAAAGTGGGAGAGGAAAGCAAAGCATTGAAGATTTGCCGCATGATAGTTTTACTTATTCAGCCACGGAGGAAACGGTTTCAGAAGTATTCTGTTTTTTATTCTCCAAACTGCCAAACTACTGCAAAATGCCGTACACAGAAGCCGTTAATCAGAAAGACACTGAGCGTCTTCAAAGTACTCTCTTGAAGTCCGGTTTTAGCTTCTAAGGTTACTTCTAATCGGTACTTCTGTGTATGGCCCGTGTAATGAGATATTACCAACCTTTATCCCCTATCAGATTAACGGTAGGCAGACGAGATTTGATAATTTTTAATTCAGATTTCGTTCTATCACTGGAGCCAGTCTGTGCCGAAAAAACGGGTGCTGCGCGGCATTTTCATTCCTATTGGGGATGTGCGTCATGATCGGAGGGCTTTGAACCCGCAACGCCCCGGTGATTGGATTGAAAACTTGACGGTTTGGCCACGGGCAGATGAAAAGCGGTGCGACTAACTAGCATGTAGAGAGCGTATATCATCTCTTATTCTTCAATCAAAGAATCGATATCACTTGGTCACATGCTGACTGAGTGGATTCTCAAGTGATGACTGCTCAGATGGAAGCTTCAAACATCGGGGAAATTTTAGTCCCCATCTTTGCTTCTTCCAGACTTCTGCTGGTGTGTAAATATGTTGTTTTAAAAATAACCCTAGTTCATCCAGAAGAAAAAAAACTGATTCTAAGAAAAGATAAATGAGCCAGACGCTCCTGACAAACAAACGCTTCACAAACACGAGCGGTTTCGTCCAGCCTCATTAGTACAGTCAATGCAGCCGCAGGTAGGTGGGGCATATGTCATCTTAAAATACTTATTTATGAGTAGCGAAATACACTCATTTGCATATCAGTTCGGTCTCGACAGGAGACTCGTCTGGAACCCAGCTGAATGTCTCGTTTATGATAAATGGCGAAGCGTGTCGTGGGCTACTGAAGAGTTTTCAGCAATCTCATGAGTAGCGTATTACGTGTAAACATGTATTGCTATATCTCGAATATCGTGCCAACTGAAACATGGGGTGGCCTTGAGCAGCAAATTCAGATGCTTGAAAACATCATAGATGAGAGCTTCAACTGCGTTTCAGGTGAGTCTCCCGTCCAAGCTAATTTGATATGCAAATGAGTGTATTTAGCTAATTTTGTGCGATTTGGGTTCTAGTAGAGCATAAGTTTGACGAAAACCCGGAGAGTGCGCCTACCTGATGGGCTTCAAAAAGGACCAGACCGGTCGTAGGCTGTTGAGGAGTTGTCAACAATATTTAGAGTAGTTTATTACGTCTATACTTGTGGGTACTTTTGAGATTTACTAAATATGGACGAGGGAGGGAGCGATAAAAATTACTGCATTGGGTAAAGAAGCCGATTCGTCGAACAAGAGTGATTTGGATACAAGAAAAAAATCGGTCGCTTCTGTTCTTGGCTTATAAATTTGCTTTTCTCCTTTACACGTGGAAACATTGTTACAACAAGAACAGAGTAACAAATAAGACACTTTCGTTTCATTCATAGACTCATAAAGAATAAGTCTTATTCAACGAGACGCAATATGATATTATTGGCGTTTCACTTTCCGGATAACGGAGCCTGTAGAGTACCTGAGTAATACGCTGTGTTTCGAGAATGTAATCAGAGAACCGACGAATGTCTCTTTTGGCGGGAGTTTTCTTCACTGGAAAGTTTACAATTTTATTCCACAAGAAGTGGCGTATAACAAGTTTAGCTTCAAATAGACACTACACAACTGTCGAATTCTTATTGGGATAGAGGTTCCCGCCTGCAGAAACCAACTATTCCGGATATAGAAGCAGATACATAAATAACTACTCTTTATATCAGGTGTATCAAGTCCCAAATAAACTGAAAGATTCAGTGAACGTAGAAACAGATTTTTCTAGAGGTTGATGAGCAATCTTTTTCCTTAAAGACTGCACGAAATCTTCCAGTGTGAATGGGCTCCAGCCTTGAAACTTTCTCCTGTCTTGGAAGGTTTTTTCCGATTCGCTTTGCAATTCCTCTGAACTGCTTGCATTTTCTGGTTTAATTAGATGATTACTTCTTGATGGCTTTGGTTGTCTTTCTTGATGGTCCATTCCTAGATTGTGTTCGTTCATTATAGTGCCCTACATTTTCAATCGCCTCCGTTCTCTGGACTGATTAGCCTTTTCTTGGTCTATATTTTATCGTGATCTTAATAAGGTGAATTTGATTGGGTGACAGGGTTTTCCTCTTTCGTCTTTTTATCGTGGTGAATGTCCTTACATCTGGTCCGCTATTAAGATGTCTTACGGGGGCCGATTAGTCAGGTTTTATCCAATTCATCTTTTGTTGTATCTGTTGAACGCATATCCTATCCAAACTACAGCCTCCTTTGGTTTTGTACTTCCGTTATTTTTTTCGAACGCACAGTTTTGTGTGCGGTTTTGAGCTCTTCAGTACTGGGGTTCCTTTATCCTTGGTAGATGAATTTCTGGGTCATCTTCAATACAATTCTGATAAAAAGGCAGGCTGGTGACTTACCGGTCTCATTTCCTTGGGTCTATATGAGCACCAAATGCT